ACAATCCCTTCTTCGTATCCTCTCCCACCGTCCTTTTCCATTTTCAATCTCGTCAAGAACAAACTTCCACTAGGTGTGCTGGTTCATGCCTGTCATCCAGCACTGAGAGGTGGAGGCAGAAGTACTGCTGTGAGTTCAAGGTCAGCCTGGGGTATTGTATATGATTCTATCACCAATAAGCAAACAGACAAACAAAAAACCAGGATGTTTTCTTCTAACATCAGCAAGTCACTCTCAGCAGATACAGTTGTGTAAGACAGCAAACCAGACCCTCCTGACCATGCAATCCACCTCTCCTGGGAACCCTAAGGATCTGGGACTTCCTCTTGATGTTCAGTTCTTGGGCTGGAGAGATGGTACAGCAGGTAAAAGCACTTGCTGCGCTTACAGAGGACTTATGTCGGTTCACAGCACCAACATCGTGGCTCACAAGAGTCTATAACTTCATTTCCAGGGAAACTGATGCCCTCTTCTGACTTCTGCAGGCAACAGATATTTACATGGTACATATACATGCATGCAAGCAAAATACTAGTATACATAAAACAGATTTGTCTAAAAAAAAAAAAAATACAATTCCAGCTGGCCACAGGGGTGCATGCCTTAGTCTCAGAACTCAGGAGGCAGAGGCAAACAGATAGGTCTCTGTGAGTTTAAGACTAGCTTGGTCTACAAAAGTTAGTTCCAGAACAGCCTCCAAAACCACAGAGAAACCCTGTCTCAAAAAACCAAACAACCAACCAACCAAACAAAGAAGAGTTTGAATGAGAATAGCCCACAGGTTCATATGTTTGAATGTTCAGTTACCAGGGGATGGAACAGTTGGAAAGGAGTAGAAGGATGAAGGTGTGGCCTTGTTGGAATAGACATAGCCTTATGGGGGAGTATGTCACTAGGGGTAGGGTTTGAGGTTTCAAAAGCCCACACCAGGTCCAGGCTCTCTCTGCCTACTGCCTGTGTATCATAATGTAAAGTTCTCTCTCTCTCCCTCTCCCTCATAAAGACCCTTGAAGACTTTACTTGGTTCCCCCTCTTTGGCTCACCCCCTTTACACTGTGTCCTCTCATTAGTGATCACCTTCAGCTTGTTCCCTGCCCTGGACGTCCATCTGCTGTATGCTTCTGCACGGCCCTTGCCTCTCCCAGGCTGTGACTTCTATGGGCTTCACTGCAAATTCTTTAGGCTTTCTCTACTGAGTGCCATGAAAATAAGACCCAGCTAGTCTTGCTCATGCTTCTGGCTGCGCTGCCTAACATATGACAGGCACTCAATAAACCATGTGATCATGACCCTGCAACCCACCCCTCTCTTGATCTTCAGGTCACCCCAGCTAATGCATTTTTTTCGTTTTGCTTCTTATTTCGTTTCCTTTTCTTGAGACAGGATCCTACATAGCCTAGGCTGGTCTCAGACTTCCTCTGTAGTAAGCATGGCCTTGAATTTCTGGTTTCCCTGCCCTTAACTCCTCAGTGAAGGAACTTTAGACAAGGGCCACCATGCCCAGTTTAGGTGGTGCTGAGGATGGAACCCTGGGTGTCCTTCATGCCAGGCGAGCACTTTTCCATCTGAGCTCCTCCCTCGTGCTGCGATCTAAATAACCAGGAATAGGATATCTGGATAAGGCATGGGGCAGGGGAGCCCTCATCCCAGTCTTTAGACTAAACTGCATTGAGGAGGAGAAAAAAAAGACAGGGTGGGGCCCTTCTAGGAGGAGTGAGTGCTCCCTAGGCCTGCCTTCGGAGGACTCGGGGCGTTGCAGGCTCTTCCTGATCTGCCACACATGTGCCACTGGCTCAGCTGTGAAACTTTCTCCAAGTGGGGGCCTCCCTCCATGTCTCCAATTCTACGTTCTTCCTGGGCACATCTCCCATTGAAGCCCCCTCACTGGTTAACATGGCCTCAGTGTGTCCCTCTACCCCTGCAAAGGCAGGCAGGTGGAGAAGACAGGGGGACAGGGTGGGAGCAGGATGGAGAATTGACTCAGTGTGCAAGGGTTGTTTGTTTCTTTCTTTTTTCCAGCATCTTTACTCACTTTATATGTAAGAGGAGATAAACGTTGGGCATTACAGTACGCTTGGGTCTGGCTGAAGAGAGACAGGGAAAAAAGTGGGGTCGCTCCGGGCCATCAGCTTATCACGCAAGTGCCTTTCTCCTTGAAGGGGTTCTTGTCTTCTGGAATGCCTTTGAGAAGAGGATCAGCCCCTGCTTGGGCCTCTACATAATCCTTGATTTCCTTTCCTGTCTTGGAAATCTGTAAGATGACAAAACACAGTCACAGCCCTTGTTTGTTCCTTAGAATCCATGACTTGGGAATCTTAGGAAAACAGGCAGGGTAGGGATGAGGTCAAAAGGAAGAAGGTAGAAGAGAGAGGCAGGCAGGAGGGCCAGTCCCCTGACCTGACCCTCAAACACTTGGCAGGATGCATGGCCAGCACAGCCTGGACACAGGGCTGGGCATACTGGGCTCCACACAGCTCTCAGCCTCTCCCCTGTGCCCGACTATCTTATAGATCCCACCCCAGACCAGAGATATGCCCTGGGCCTAGTGTCTCCTCAACTCCTGACAGAAAGAGACAAGCCAGGAGGAGAGTGAGTGGAGGCTCACCGGGTCCCGAGAGTTCCTCACTTCATTCTTCAGCTGCTCCACCTCCAACCTCAGCAGCTCTTTCTCACTCAGATCCTGGGCCATCCTGCCCTAGAGCGAGACCTGTGCCCTGCCTGACAGGGTGGCAAAGTCATGAGCATGCCTCCAAGTCCACACTCTTCCTGGCTACACACCCCCACCGAGGTCCCTCATTGGCTAGCATTTCCTCACTGAATCCCTCAGCCCTTTGCTCTGTCTAAACAAAGGCTCAGAAGAAGTAGAAGCCACCAGTCAGATAGGGGTAGCTCAGTCTTTGTCCTTGGATCAGAACCTTTCTAGGAAGGGAAGGAAATGGAGTGTTAAGTGTGGAAAAATTTGGGATGAAGAGTGACTGGTCCAAGTGATGACTCAGGGGGATGCTTTGCCTCTGGGTCCTGACAAGGGCCTTGTGTTAAGACTGTGGGTCAGCCAGAGGCCAGCTGTGAGCCCCCAGCTCTTCCGCTTCTTCTGTGTGTGACCTTGGACAAGTCACCTCACTTGGCTTCTCTGAGTCTTAGTTTCCCCATCAGCAAATGAGTATAATAATAGTAACATTGCTTTTATTCTTTGAGACAGCGTCTCATGTAGCCCAGGCTGGCCTCAAACTCTCTGTGCAGCTGAGGGTGACTTTGAACTCCTGATCCTTCTGCCTCTACCTCCTGAATTCTGGGATTGTGGCTGCTGAGGATGGAAGCCGGGGCTTCGAGCATGCTAGGCAAGCAGTCTATCAACTGACTTCCATCCCTAACACCACTATTATTGTGAGAACTAAAATAACAAGAAAATAGTGCATGGGAAACATTGTCATACTTCCTGATACATAACAACCAGGGCACATTTCTTATTTTCATTTCTGACAATGACATCATTACAATCATCACTCCAGGGTAACCAGCCTGGTGCCTAATCTAGACCCCAGCCCAGTGTACCCAAAGCCTCCTTACCTGCTAGCACTCTCTCCAGATCACCAGTCCAGGACCCAGACCCACGATGGTGTTTGAGCCTCCTGGCTCCTCCTCAGCTGAAAATCTTCAGATAAAACAGATGGTCGGCAAAGCCTAATCTCTAATGCCAAGCTGATCCTGAGCTCAGGGTTCTAAGTCCTGATCCCCCAGCCCTCCACTCCTCCTCAGCAGACAGAGGCAGTCCACCCACCAAGTAAACAGACAGGCCACCTCCACTGTGGACCCCTGGACCGCATTAGCCGCTCTCCTTCAGTGAATCCCCCCAACTGCACCCCTACCTCCCAGCTTCCCTCCAGCCCACATGCTCCCCTCTCCCCTTGCCTGTCTTTTTCCATCACAGAGCCTGCTCCTCATCAGACAACAAACTAGCTCTAGCATTCAGGATCCAGAAGCCCTGTGTCTTCCGCTAGGGAGTTCGTTCCATAATTTCACCTTACGAGGGTCTCCAGGCTCGCTCTCCATTCACTCCACAAAAACATACCCTCGCTTCCAATGCTCAATGTTTCAGTCCAGGGGCTGTGGTCCCCCTAATGCCATGTCCTCTGCTCCTCCTCGGCCTCCACAACCTCCCTGGCGGGTGGATCTCTCTTATCTTCAGTTCCCAACAGCCACCTACAACCTGCTCTTTCTCTCTGCCTCTTGCAGGGCTACCTGGCGACTATGACATTTAGCAGAGCTGAGCTCCTGGTCTGGCTGACATCTGTCCAATAGCAAGGGACTCAGTCTCTTGAGGGAATGTTAAGGTACCAGTGTGGTCAGTGAGGGTCCCTCTTCTGCCAGGAGGATGACAAGCTGGGAGGGGGAGGGGCTGCAGGGTGCCTCCCTTGACCCAGGATCAAGCCTCACTCCCAGCTGGGAGCGCCACGAATTCAAGTTTAGTATGGGATCATCAACGCATCCAACTGCCAGCTAATACAATGGGCCCCACTCAACACTCTGTCCACCAGTGATGCCTCAAGCCCACACATCCATCTGGAATGGTGTTATCCCATGTCCAAGGCCTTCTTGTTGCTCATCTGATTCCCTCATGCTTATATGGTCAATTTCATCTTCTACTACCTACATCAGGCATAAAACACAGGTCACAGGACTTCCTACCTGACCCTTCACAGGCTTGTCCACAGTTCTTCAGGAACTCTAGACGTGTCTTCCTGGTGTCTAACCCTGATACTTCTTGCTGCTGTATGGGTTGTTTCCCATTGTTACTGCACTGCCAGCCCCGCCCCCCTTCACCCGTATGACTTATCTCCATATCCTATCCACCCTCCACTCCCCCATCCCTTGGTGACTCATCCCCAAGCTTCCCAAGGAAGCCCCCACCCTCTGCCCTTTCCTCCCCTCTTCCATGAGTGGAAAATCCACCCCCATAGCGGGCCAGCCCCTTCCTCCTGTCTCTATTACCCCATCCCCCCATCGACTAGCTTCCTCTCCAGGACCAGGGAGCAATCACAGATGCCCGGACCTTGGCTTCCTTTGCCTGGTGAGATTGGGAGGCTGAGCCCCCAAACAGGCCCCTGGCTTCCCCCCTCGTCTGAGCAGGGTAGAGAGGCACAGGCCCAGGACCCAGGGTCTGACTTCCTCTTGTCCCGGAATGAGCATGCCTACCCTTTACAGGCAGGTTTGGGTCTTTCACGCAGAGGAAACCAAAAGCAGTGAGAGGGAGGGAAGGCAGAGCGGCCAATCAGGGGCAGGGTGAGGCTCAAAAGCAGCAGGCTCCCCAGGGAACCCCACCGAGGCCTGAGCCATGGCGGAGCTGCAGCAGCTGCAGGAATTTGATGTCCCCACGGGCCGCGAGGCTCTGCGGGGCAACCACAGCGCCCTGCTGCGGGTGGCCAACTACTGCGAGGATAACTACTTGCAGGTAAGTGAGGAGAGCGCATGCCAATATACCCCTGGAGGGGACCTGCAGCCGGGTCCCCCTTGCAGGGTCATCTGACAGGTGCCTGTTCTCGCCTTGCCTGAGCAATCTTCGGGCTTCAGCACCATGCCCCACATTTCCCAAGTGCTACCTCACTTGTTCTCTCTGGCACCGCCTTAGAGGTAGAGGATGTGTAGACTTAACTGTATGTATAATTCCACCTTGTCCCAGCTCTCTCTCCTCTCTTACAAAGACCCACAAGACCCTTTCCTCACAAGTGCTGGTACCATCTGCAGGCTGGCTCTAGGAGAATCATCAGGAAACTTTCCTTAGTGTTTGAGGGGAAACAGAGGAGTGTCGGAGCAGGTCAGGATGAGAGAAGAGGTCTGATGCTGAGGCAGGGGACTTACAGCCTGGCTGCTGAGAAATGAGGAGGAGGGAGGCACTCAAATTTTTATCTTTTTGTTTTTGTTTTGTCTTGTTTAGAGACAGGGTTTCTCTGTATAGCTTTAGAGCCTGTCCTAGAACTAGCTCTGTAGTCTTGAACTCACAGAGATCCGCCTGCCTCTGCCTGGTGAGTGCAGGGATTAAAGGCGTGCGCCACCCCACCCCACCCCACCCCACCCCACCCCCCCCCCCCGGCTTTTTGGGGCTTCTTGAGACAGAGAACCACTGTACAGCACAGGCTGTCCTTCAGTTCACTGTAGCTCAGGCTGGTCCTGCTATCTCAGCCTTCCCTTAGTGACGGGATTACAGTGGCTACCACCTCTCCTGGCTGTTGTTTTGTGTGTCATTTTGATTTGGTTTCTTAAGGCATTGGGAAGGGAGCCCAGGCTGTCTGGGAAGTGCTGTTTTGCTGAACTAAGCTCCACTCCACCCTGGAATAGTCTTGTTCATCTTGTGTGTATTCCGTAGCATCGGTTCCTGGGGAGGGGAGAGAGGTGGAGGGCCTCTCAACTGTCCAGGGTCACCCAGGTCTGGAATAGCAGAGCCAAGCGCAGCCTCCCTGCCTTCTCGCCTGAATTCCTCCCTCTCCACCCTCCTGCCTGTCTGATATCTTCTATGACTTGGGACAGTTTATCTGCATTCTGTCCTCTAGTCCCTCTGCTCCATTAAGAATGGCAGGCTAAGTCTGCGACCTCTTACCCCTAGCCAAAATGTGAGTTCAAGCCAGTCAGGGTTACATTGCAAGACACTACCTCAAAGAGACCAAAACAACAAATCAAAACCCTAAGCCAGAATGCAGCCAGAATTCTGACTCAGAGTCCAATGGCTAGCCCTTTAGATCACAGTGCTACCTTGCCCGTCATTCTGGTGTGTGTGTGATAAGTGACCAGCCTGGAGACAGATGATCTGGCACGAGGCTTATGAACCAGCTCTGTCCTACTAGCACTTGGGCATGCTTCCCTGGCAGGGATGGAAGCAGCCCTTTGCTGCACCTTAAAGTACTTCTGGAGGGTCCAATCCCATATGTGTGATTGGTGTGCACACAGGATCTGAAGCCAAAAGCTGAGTCCCATGTCTTCCATCTATTGACTTAGGAATCTACGGTGAGTTTCCCATTGGTCTTTCTTTCCTAAGATCTTTCTTTCTTTCCTAGGGTCTTTTTTCCCTCCTCCGTTCTTTCTTTGTATCTATCTATCCATCCTGTCATTGTCACTCTATAGCTCAGGCTGGCCTTGACCTGTCTGCTTCAGCTCCAGAAGACGGGGATTACAGGCCTGCACCACCATTTGGGGATGGGAGGGTTCCTCTCAGACTCTACACCTTCTCCAAGGTGGTTATAAGTATTAACTGGAACAGTGTGTTGAAGCATTTGCACAGGGCCCATCATCCTGTAAGAAGGGCAGGATAAATGTAGCTCTTATTGCTACTGTTACCATTTCAGTAGTGATGTAATGATGGAACTCACTCTATTGAGGTGACAGCCTTTGCAAACATACTCAGGGTATCAGAAACCCTGACCCAGGTTGGAATCCCTGGGTTCCTTTGTGCAGAGCACTGGCTCCTAGGCCATGCAATCAATGACCATCCCTTCTTGTGAAAAGAGGATAGTTTTGAGTGATGCCTTTGATAAGGTCTCCATCCCATCCTTCACCCATTAACCAGGTGTCAGAAGCCCATGGGGAATAGCAGAAGGCAGATGGGTCAAGTGTAGGGTTCTGAGCCAAGGTTGACTGAGTATACAAACAGGGTGATTTGCATGACAAACACTCAGCTTCGTTGAAGGTATCCCAGACCCTTATTTCTCTAGACCTGACTATGGGTCAAGATCAAAGTGAGAGGTTCGAAACATCTAGATTGGAGGTACCTAGAGCTGGGCCCAAACAGACACTTATTTTTTGGGTTGCTAAATCCATATGCTGGGCTGGGGAGGGAACTGTCCAGAAGCAGGGAGGGCCTGTTTTCTTACCCATTAAAGAAAGACCTGGAACAAAGCCTTTAGTCCTTTCTACTTTCTTTGCCTATTCAAGGCTTTGGGTGGCATATGCTGATGAATGTAAATTTTATTGCATATGCAGATAACATGTAAATAGGCACACAAATGAACATCGCTTCCCTGCTGTCAGAACAGAAAAGTAGGGAGGAGAGGACCATGGCATGGGTTTTCCAGAAGGTTCAGGCCACATAAGAAGAATCCAGATCTCACTGAGGACACAGCTCTGATAGTTCCAGCTACAGGTCCTATGGTGCACACAAAGTTCCAAGCCAGGAAGCCACAGGGTATATACATCATTGCCTGTCAGTGCACCTGCCTCTTCTAATTTGCCTCATCTCTGCCCCCCACCCCTGAAAGGGACAGACTTCAGTGCAGCAAGCTTGTGATTGATGGGGAAGGAGGAAGCTGTTTGGGGAAGCAAGACCCACGAAGGTTTACCCAGCCCCCAAGTCTGGTCTGGGACCAAAAACAGTTTTGTTTTTAGCCATTCTCTGGGTGCCCCTTTCCACTGACTGGAAGTGTGGCACTGGCCAGTGTCTGGCATGAAGTAGGAAGCTGCCCAGCTAGTGTGAGGTCCCCTTTCAACCTGTCCACCAGCCAACAAATGCATATTTATTTCATGTCTTCTCTGTGCTGGGGACTATGTCAGTGTAGGATGCAGGACAGAATGGCCCAGCTCTCTGCTTTCATGGTACTTATATTTGACTGCCAGGGATAGAAGTGAAGGAAAAAAAAAAAAAAAAAAGACAGGGTAAGTATGATAGTAAAGGTGAGCTGGGTAAAAGCTTAGGGAGGAGGTTTGGGAAGTGGAGAAGCTGGAATCACCTAGTGAAAGGGGGAAAAAAAAAGGCTAAGAAATACAAGCACGGGAGGCCCCAGGTAGATCAGATCCAGCTTGTTAGGAAACAGAACTCCAGTGGCCAGTGTGGGTAAAGAGAAGCAAGGGGTGTGTATGGAAGGGGGAATGTGGTATTCAATGCCAACTGTGGTGGCACACATCTGTAATCCTAGCACTTAGGAGCCGGAGGAGGGAAAAATCAGGAGTTCAAGGTCAGCCTTGGCTACACAGAGATTGAGGCCTATCCTACATGAGACATCAGAAAAAGAGAGACAGAGAGAGAGGCAGAGGGAGAGAGAGACATATTAGAAAGCTATCAGAGGGAACGAGAGAAGGAAGTCCCTTGGTTCTGGGACACAGTCATTATGTAAGTTCCCATACACCTGCAGGCAGATTGGGGCTAAAGAAGTTCAAGGTGGGGGGGGGGGCGCCCAGCCACATTCAGAGGGGCTTTGGTTTGCAGATGTAAGGGTGTGATATTGGCTGGGTTTTTAATTTAGTTATGTCTCCTCAGGCCAGCATCACTTTCTCTCTTCCTTTCTACTCCTCGCCATGCAGACTGCAAAGACGCACTAGCTGAGGAAGTGCAGTAGAGTCTGGTCCTCTCAACTCAGTCCTCACCTCAACTATTGGAGGAAAGGACTCCTCCGCAATCTCCACAGCCAATTCTCTCAGGCTGCAGACTTGTTTTCCTTATGTCTCCTGTAACCCTCGTGCAATACCATCCTCCTAGAAGCTACCTCAAGCATCTAAGGGTGGCAGCATTCTCCAAGTTCAGCTCCTGCCTCCCTTAGATTCTCTTCTGGTCCCACCGGACCTTGCCTAGGAAGCAGTGGAATGTGCTGGCCTTGGGCCAAGGCTGTGTGTATTTCAGGCCACAGACAAGCGGAAGGCATTAGAAGAGACCATGGCCTTCACCACCCAGGCCCTGGCCAGTGTGGCCTACCAAGTGGGTAACCTGGCTGGACACACTCTTCGAATGCTGGACCTACAGGGTGCTGCCCTACGGCAGGTAGAAGCCAAGATCAGCACACTGAGCCAGGTAAGGGTGTGGGAAGGTACCCCTTTCAGCCCCAACTCTTCCGTCCCACTCAAACATTCTCTACAATGAGAGTTTCTTGTATTTCTACATGTCCATGTTGTCAACTTGATGTTGGCACCTTCTGAACTTTGGAGACCTCCATCATGGCTATGTCTTAGTGGGGTCCTTGCTACCCCATTAGGTGCAAAGCTCTCTGAAAACAGATACACACAGTCTCTCGCCTCCATCCCAACCCACCCTTTTTTGTTTTTCGGAACAGGGATTCTCTGGCTTTGGAGGCTGTCCTGGAACTGGCTCTTGTAGACCAGGCTGGTCCCCCACCCCTCTTGAGTGTTGCTGTGGATATCTAAAAGCTTTGTCTGCCTGTCACAGTACCTGCACAAAGCAGAGGTTACAGGCCATCTTGTTTTCACTGAAATATAGGCAATGATTAATAAGTGTCCTCCACTCAGGCTAGGCAAGCCTATCTTCAGCCCCAGAGGAGTCTCTGTCACCAACTTACAGAATCCCTACCATAGGCTCATAAGTACCCTCAAGCTTCCTTCCTGGTTTCTTGACCCCACAAGGCACATGTTACAATTAGCAAAGTTTCAATTTTGGTCTGACTGTAAGTCCCCAAGGGGTCAGGGTATGGGGTGTGTCTTCTTCCTCCTCCTCAAGATCCAAGATTCCCACCCCTCAAGGCCTGAGGGAACATTCCAAGAGGAAGCTAATTCACATATTTGTCCCCTGAAGGGGAGAGCTGACTTGGTTACAATTCTCTGCCACCTCCACACTATGCCCTTCTGCTCCAAAGGTTACCCTGTCCTTCAATCCCTTCCCAGCATCCCCAGGGACATTGTTTTCCCTTTTCTTCCGTTTCCTGCGCCACTAATAATAACCCTCATTCTCTTCTACCAGGAAGTTGCTCTAAAATGGCTCATCCTTTTCTGCTACTCTTTTCCCCTGCTGCATGGCCACAGGGACAAAACTCGCTTTCTCCGGATTTCCCTGCTCCCTATGGCCATTTTTTCCTCCTCCCTTCTTTATTTTGAGATAGGGTCTCACTAGGTAGTTAGTCCTGTCTGGCCTAGAACTCATCATCATATAGACCAAGTTGGCCTTGAACTCACAGAGATCTAACTACCTGCCTCTCCCTCCTGAATACAAGGTCTCTCTCTCTCTCTCTCTCCTTTCAAAACAGTGTTTCTCTGTAACTTTAGAGCCTGTCCTGGAACTCACTCTGTAGAGCAGGTTGGCATCTCAGAGATCCACCTGCTGCTAGAATTAAAGGCGGGCGACTGGTGGTTTCTCCCTCTCAAAGAGAATGGTGTTGGACAGGCTGAGCCCCACTGTCGCCTCCCACCCCTGTCATGCAGATGGTGAACATGCATAAGGAAAAGGTGGCCAGAAGGGAGATCGGCACCTTAGCTACTGTCACGCGGCTGCCCCCTAGCCAGAAGGTCATCCCTCCTGAGGCTCTACCTCCCCTCACTCCTTACTACAGAAAACCCCTCAACTTCAGCTGCTTGGATGACATTGGCCATGGAATCAAGGTAAGGGGAGCTTTGCTTGTCCCCACTGGCCACCCTCTCCTGCCATGTGGCTCCCTCCGGTCTTCTTTCTGAGTCCCTGTGCTATCTTACAGTCCCTTCCTCTCTCACGATTCCATGGCCAGGAGCCATGGCCTAAGATCCTCACTCTCCCAAGGTCCCCAGCTGTCCTCTGCCCTGTACAAACTCTGCTTCCAAAGATCACATGCTGTCCCTGCCCCCCATCCACGGGTACTGTGGGGCAGGGGGGGCAGGGAGGGGGAAGGGAGGGTGTCAGGAGATGCATGAGAACCATTTCTTAGCCACATGAGAACAGCGACTTCCTCTGTCTGGGGGTTTGAGGTCATGGCTCTAAGAAGTCACCCCAGAATGCTGGTGGTAGGGACAGGAGGCAGACTTGGTGGAGGGGACATATCTCGTTTTGTCACCTTCATATCATTTCGTCTGCTTCATATCAGATTAGATTAGCAGATTTCCTGGATCTTAACCCCTTGATTTTATGCCAGTTCCTGGAAGGGAGAACAAAACTTCCTTTCAGTTCCCAGGTCCCCAGCTCCTTCTGCCGTCCAATGTCCTTGCATTTTTTCTTTTGACCTGGATGGCACTCAGGTCTCCTGTAAGCTGAGCACGAGCTCCAACCTATCCTTTATGCCTCGAGTTCCCTTTCTTGTCTCTAAGGAGGCAGAGTGACAGAGAACAGTGGGCCCCAGATGTTCCTCCTGGGGGAAGTCCCTAAGTTAAGAGTTGTCCCTTGCATTGGGGGTTGCTTCCTATCGCCGGCTCTCCTAGGCGGCTTGGGTTCTGCCATTCATCTCTCTGCCTTGAATTTGGGGAGGTCAGTTTATGGAAATGATGAGTGGGACAGCTCTGTGTGATGTATCTCCCCTCTCCATGCATCACTCAAAGCAGAGTTAAGGACGTCCAAGTCACCCAGATCCTTGTGGATTTAAGATAGTTTGGGGGTGCAAAGGCCCTCTTGGTCACTGTGGCTACGCAGAGGAAGAGGTTCTCAGACTAGTTTGAGCTGTGGGCTTTTGGTGGGGTGGCTCTGTGGGACCAGCTGCAGACTGAAGGCCCTGTGGCTCAGGGGTGGGGGTAGGGCGGGAGGAGGGCTGGGAAGCGGAAGTAGGAACTTGCTGAATCTGGCTAGCCCTCCCAGTTCTCGTACATCCCTCCCCCCAACTCCTCTTAGGGGTGAAGGTGAGGATTGCTCCCCTTGCCTCAGATGTCAACCCTACCCCCTCCCTCCAGGACTTGAGCACGCAGCTGTCGCGGACCGGGACCCTGTCTCGCAAGAGCATCAAGGCACCTGCTACCCCTGCCTCCTCCTCCGCCTTGGGGTGAGGCCTCAAGGCCATTCCTACCAGTCCTGCCCAGCCCCTTGGGGTTCCCAACTGCCCCCTCACCCCTTGCCAGCAGCACCTGGCACCGATTCTCCCTCCATGAGCCACCCTTCCTCAACCGCAGTCCTGCTCAGCAGAGGTCCCTCCCTCCCTCCTCATGCCACCATACTCCACTCCCAGGAGACCACCCCGGATCCCAGAGCCCGTGCAGCTCCCAGCCGTGCCCGATGGCAAGCTCTCCGCTGCCTCCTCTGCCTCTTCCTTGGCCTCGGCGGGGTGAGCGCTTAAGTCTAGTGGTGGGTGGACAGTAGGTGGATATTTAGAAGGGGGCCTCCTGCCAGACTTCTGGGGTTGAGAAAACCAAGGACCATTGGGTGGGGAAAATAACTTGAGGCCAGATTTTGGGTTGGAGGGACCCTTTGAAGACGCTGAGTTACAAGGTTTCCCTCATCTGCGTGTGCTCCCTCTGGTCCTTAGCAGTGTCGAAGGTACCAGTGGGATCCCCCAGGCATCACCTGCAACCCCGCCTCCTCCGCCTCCAGCACCTGCAACCCCGCCTCCTCCACCAGTCTCTGCGGAGGTCTTCTTGCCTCCTCCTCCCCTGGAGGTGTCCCAGCCCCCTCCAGGTAAAGAAGTGCCCAACCTCCTCCTCCCCCACCTTGAGACTCCCATCCATTCTTTTGGAGCCCTGTGCTCCTCAGGAACCCCAGGGAACCAGTGAACCGAGCCTATTTTTACACTAGCCCCGTGTTTGAAGCTTCTCATTTAAAGTCAACTTTGACAGGACCTTTATATTCTCACCTGGCAAGGGTTGTGCAGCAGGGTCTGCCTACCCTGTGTTGAGTCCTCCCAGGCACCACCAATGGGCTGGAGGCTGGCTAGATACCGAGGGCAGTGCCACCTCTGCCGTGCACACACATGTCTTGTTTCTTCCTCCCTGACAGCAGAGTTGCCTTTGCCTCCCCCTCCAGCTCTAGAGGGGGATGAACTGGGGCTGCTGCCTCCACCCCCACCAGGTTTTGGACCAGATGAGCCCAGCGGGGTCCCTGCTGCCTACTTGGAGAAAGGTATCAGTACTCTCAGAGCTGCAGAACACTACAATCCATTGGCAGGTTTCTGGCCTCCTTAGCCCTGACCTCCACTCTTCATCCCAGAGGCATTAGCTCTCCCTGCCAAGGTGTGACCCTATTGTCTCTCCATCCCCCTCCATTCTGATGAACGGAGTCCTGAAGCCTGGAGCTGGGGTTTGAAGGTAGTTCCCTCTGCTGCCTTCTCCCCACAGCCCTGTGTGATGGCTCCTGTACCATCATGGGGGGGGGGGAACAGAGGGCACATCTCACAAGACTTTTCTCTCTTGCAGTGGTGACACTATACCCATACACCCGTCAGAAAGACAATGAGCTCTCCTTCTCTGAAGGCACGGTCATCTGGGTCACTCGCCGCTACTCTGATGGCTGGTGTGAGGGGGTCAGCTCAGAAGGCACTGGATTCTTCCCAGGGAACTATGTGGAGCCCAGCTGCTGACAGCTCGTCCCTGCGCCAACCCAGCACTGCCTCAGTGGGTCTGAGTCCCAAGAAGCCAGCGCCACAGTCAAGGCTGGACTAGGGACCCGTCTACCTCTTGGGCTGTGAACTGTGTTCAGTCCCTGTTCCACACAGCAGTGTGGGGGAGGGGCTAGAGAGAGGTGGTACTGCTGCAGATGGGGGGGGGGGGAGAACACCAAAAAACTAAAAGCCAAGGCGTTCAGGCACCTTGCCCAGACAGCTTTGAATAAAACGGATGACCTGATATTTGCCCCGCAGGCCTAGAGAGCCGGGGGTGGGGGGGGGATGATGGGAAGGGAACAAGGTCTAGAGCACATCAATAGAGCTCTGCAGATGGCCCAGAAGGACCGCTCCATTTCAGTCCTCTTTACTATTCCCACTAGACCCCAGCTGTCACAGGCAGCCATTCCTGACATCTTTCCCCCTTAGCTTGATGCTTGTCTTCGTGTGGGCTCCTCAAGCCTCCCCCCACTTAAATGCGGCTGAGAGCAAAGGGCACCTCTCTCACCCCTCCGGCGGCGGCAGCGGCGCAAGAGATGAGTCACTTTGTCCCCCTTCACCTCCTTTATAGCTCTGAAAAACCAGAGGGGGGGAGGGGCCTGGGTTTCCCTGGCTCTGCTTAAAAACATGGCTTTCTGTTCCATAAGGGCGAAGGGGGATGCGGAGGACGACTTTGGTGAAGTCCCTGGTCTCTAGATGCAGTAGATGAGGTTAGTTAGAGTGAGAGGATGTCACACTCTCCGAGGTCATTGGTTGGTTCTACCTCGTTCCACCAGCAGGAGGTGGCGGTTCGCTCTGGCTTTTTCTTCCTTTGCCGGTATCTGGCGTGGGCGGGGGAAGGAAGCAGGGCGCAGCCAGCGTAGCACTAGTGTAGGATTTTGGTGGCTGAAGCAAGATCAAAGATGCCTAGGAGCTGAATTCCGAGAGCATCACAGGCCTGTGAGAGGAAGCCGGTGCTGGCATGCGGATTGGGGGATCCTGAGTCCGTCTGAGAGAAGACTGGGGAGGGGAGGTACGCAGCCGAAGCAGCAGCTAAAGTAGCGGGTGATGTTCCTTCTCCCAACTGCCAGGAGTCCCTTCCACTAAATTCGAGGGACACTGCCTGCCTTCCAAGGAGTGCTCACCACTCCCTGGAGGGGAGGCAGCCGAGCTGCGATAACTGCATAGATAGGGACGGCTCTTAACCTCCGCTCCCAGTCCACAAGCGGACAAAATTCCAGAAATGCCCAGAGGGGCGTAGCAAAGCTAAGGGGAAGAAGGAGTAAGACCAGGTGGTCTTAACCAATTCTCAGTCCTGCCCCCTTCTCAGCCGGTTCTCCCGGAGTTCCCTTTGCAAGCGATGGTCTTCAACACATTTTCAGCACCTGTTGCAGATGTTGGCGCACTTCTGCGGCTGTTTCCCAGGGCACCACGTGGGCGCGGAAGGAGCTGGGTTCGGCCTTCTGTGCCTCCTGGATGAGGCGGTGCATGGGGTAGCCGCGCCTTGGGAAGGCCACGTCCCCGCTCGCCAGCAACCCCATGGGGCAGAAGTCATTTGCACCGTCACCCACGTAGAATAGGCGCTCGAAGTGCACGCCATCGCGGGCCCGCTCACGCAGGTATTCACTGAGCACCTTGTGCTTGCACATGTTGGCGGGGCAGCGCGAGCAGCTGTGCGTGTGGAAAGGCCGCAGCGTCAGCAGTCCCCGAGCGTCGGGCCCGGATGGGTTGCTGAGGATGCGGCGGAATAAGCTGTGGTGGCCAGCAGCACGCAGGGCACTCTCCACTCCGAAGGTGTTGGCATCCGAAATCAGAATAACCTCGAAACAGGAGCCCTGTTTGGCTACGAACTGCAGCAAATCACCCATGCCCGGCGACAGGGGGATGGTCTCATAGACAGCGCGCAGGTCTCGCGGCCGTACACCCTGCTCACCCAGGTACTTGAAGACGCGTTGCATGTACTCATTGTAGTAGCCCTCGCGGTAGGTGGCACGCAGACTCTCAGGTAGTTGCTGGCCTGGCGCAGCACGCACGATCGAGTCGTCGCTGTTTTCGTCCACGATGGTCTCATCGAAGTCGAAGGTCAAGAGGAAGCGAGGTGCGCCTGGCGCAGCCATCCTGCCGTCCTGGGAGCAGGGGGAAGAGGAGCAGGAGGAGGGGGCAAGCGAGAGGCGGCGCGGCGGGAGCCGGCCAGGGAGAGCCTGGTTAGCGGGCCACAGCCAGGATCGCTGGCACATCCAAGACCTGAGGAGGACCCAAGGCTGGTTAAGCTGGAGATGGAGTCAACACGTGGCCCACACCCCGTCTCCCAGTTAATCATGCGGGGTTGACACAAGGGTGGCATACTATTCTTGAAGCCAAAGGCTTCCTTGGCTTCCGTTTCTGCTGTGCTCATGGGGTCCCTGGGGCTTAGCAACGGTCAGCTTTGGAGAGGGGACAAGTGACTTGTCAGGGATCACTCCTTGAGGGTTCTTAACTGGGTTGGAGACTTCTGGTGGCCTGTGTGGTGGGTGCAGGCAATAGTGGGCAAACCCACACCAGCTGCTTTAACCCAGCAGAGTGAAAGGAGACGCATGCGCCTAGGGGGGCAGCCTCATTTTCCCTTCGATCTTTATGGGATCAAAGACTAACGGAGTAGCTAGGCTCCAGGAAAAGCCATTGGCATCACCAAGGCAGGTAGGCAATGAGTGTCAGGTCTTTCCGGGGCCTGGATGTCAGCTACAAACGCCAGGCTTAGAAAGCCAGGTTCTGGATCCTCCTAGGTCCTGGCCAGAGAACTAGGTTTTAGCCCTCCAAATTACCAGGTAGGAATGCAGACCACACAAGACCTAGGGAGGCTCTTTGGGAGCTGCTTCCAGCCAGATGACACTGGGCAGGGGGCTAGGGGCCAGGGAGTTGTAGGGCCCTGTGCTGCTGCTCATTGCTAATCACTTGCCAATTCCCTGGGAAGAACGTGTCAGCGGATAGGGTTTCTGCCAGAGTCCGAAGCAAGCAGGCAGCAGGAGAAGCAATGGGGCTTAGGGAGATGGGAGCCCCCATCGCCAGGCCACAGCATACCTGAGAGACAGGTAGGGGAGAGGAAAGAGAGCAGCAGTGGCTAAGGAGGCAGGGGGAGGAAGGGGCAGGCAGCTAGCTGGAGCAGGGCACGGGGGAGGGGAGGGGTGTTTAGGAGGGTAGAGTAGATTACTGGAATACAGTAGGAGCACTAGGTAGCCGGACTTTGGGCAAAGGGTGAACATCGTGAAGAGGATGGGGATACAGTGGGAGTGTTGGGGCACAAAGAAAGGCAAGCACATGGACACAGCAGGAGCCTCCATCTATTCCTCTCTGCCACCTTTGTTTGCCAGCAGCTGTATGAAAGAGGCAGACTGACCAATCCTGTAAGTGACCCTTGTCTCTTTGCCTCTCTGCATTCGCTTCCTATCCCAACTTACCCACATGGAACCCGGTTTGCCCTCTCACAATCACAACCACTTTTTTTCTTTTTAAAAGAAAGGTTCCTATGTAGCTCAGCCTGACCTTAAACTTGCTATGCAGCTGAGGATGAACTTGAACTCCCCATCCTTCTGTTTTTTTTTTTATCACCCCAGTGCTGAGATAACAGCATTCTACCAACTGACCTACATCCCAAGCCCTCACCCACTACTACTTCTTGGGTTTGGATGACTTTGTAAAACAAGGACAGCTGAAGCCATTTCAGAGTTGGGATTGGGACATGGCTCTCTAAGAGATCTGTCTCTTCCACTTTATCCCCCCCTGTAGTCACCTGGGGTTTAGCATCAACCTGTGGGAGTTTCAGTGGCATGGAATCTCTGTTTTTTGAGGACGCAAGGCACCAGGACCCACACAAGAAAAATTTCCAGGGATTCATGGAGCACCAGTGGAAAGCACAAATCTGAAAGGGACTGGAGAGAGCTCCACTCATCTCAGTGTGGAAACGTTGGGGCTTGAGGCCTCATCCTGAAGGGCCCCTGCTTACCCTAGATAGGCACCGTAGGCCAACAGCTGGAAAACACCCACTCATCGTGGGTATGTAATCCTGAGCACCCACTTCCGGAAACGTTGCTGGTCTCAAGCTGTCATCCACAGCCCCTAAAAAACAAAAACCCACAAAAGTCCACACCTGTTCACTTGGGATATATTGGTGCACACATTTAATCTCAACACTTGGGAGGGAGGCAGAAGCAAATGGATCTCTTGACTTTGAGGCCAGCCTGGTCTACACAGTGGGTTCCAGCAGCCAGGGATATGTAGAGAGACCCTGGCCCCAAAATAAAGTGCCTACCCACCGGCTTCCTCTTCCCCACCCATTCCATCAGGTACCCGAACCACTCCTGGGTTCTCAGCAAAGAGCAAGGCCTTAAAGGTACACTTGGGCTCCTGGCTATCAACATCCCTGGCCAGGTCCCAGGCTTACCAAGGGCACTCCTGCAGACAGGTCACCAGACAGGATAAGGGACTTGCTCAAAAGCCACTCACTCAAAGTGGTGAGACTTCCAAACCAGATCTCGGAGGCTGGTCCAGGGCCTCTCTCCAGTATGACCTTTGCTTGCACATGAGAAGGTCATGTCATAGTTTACCAGTCACCTTTATTCCCAATCTCATTCATGGTTCATCAGACCCAAGAAGGCAGAGAACAGAGGGCTTAACTCACTTCCTAGAGGCTGTACTGTTCAAGCAGTGCAGCACTTGGTTCATGAATGCTTCACAACTGTCTAGAGGCTGAGATCCCTGGGCTCTGCATCAGATATGAGACTTACCTCCAGCATTACCTTGTTCAGGGGTCTCACGGACAGGGCAGGCTGAAATCTCTACTAGAGTTTAGGTGATCGGTTCTGACCTTTTGATTGGGGCCTTCATCAGTGCAGCTACACAGAATACCGTCTACAGCTTCTGGTGTCTCCCTACTCCCCTACTTCTCCACCCCCAGCTTGAGACACCAGAGGTCAAGCCCTTAAATTTAGAAAGATACAGCTTGGAATTGGAAAGGTACTATAGAGAAGCGATAGCAGAAGATCTGGCTGGCTGCTGCCCTCTAGTGGTGAAAATGGGTGGCATGGTAAATTCTGACTTTTGTCAAGGTGATGCTTGCTTGCTTCCTGACTATCCCAGGGCAGCAGAGAGGCAACTGCCTCCCAAATAAACTAGGGTAGGATCAGGAGGGGACACTGGGACAGTCTTTGTAGAGATGCATCACTGGCTACCCTCACCTCCTTACGATAAAGCTTTTTCAGCAGAGATGGGAAGTAACATTTAGTGCTGCAACTCCCCCTCCCCCAACTTACGGCTAGTAATTGGAAGGAAATTAAAGCTCACTAGCAAAAAGTGGCAGCATCCTGGGGAAACTCAATATTGTTGAGATAGTGGGAGAGAAGGGGATGGGGATGAGGAACAAGGGGATGGCATGCAAGGGGTATTAGGGGAACTGTCCTGGCTGATTCAACCTTTCTCCCTGGACAAGAGTTAGAGAAAGATCGGGTGCCACACCCATTGTAAAAAGCAATCTCCAAGAGAGGGATGGCTTCAGTCAGGGAGAGAAGGATACAAACGGGTCACCAGCAGCCACGTAGACCAACTTTCTTTTCTCTCATTCTGTTTCTCCCTTATCCTCCCTCCCGCTCTCTCAGGATTGATCACTGGGCTTTGTTATATAGCATGCCCTTAATTCAATGGTTTTGTTTTATGTTTTTAACTTCTAGACAGGGTGGCCCAACATGGACTTGAACTCAGTCAGCCCCCTGGGCATAGGGATTCCAGGCATGTAACAAATACCCTGCCCTGCTAAGATAAATTTTCATCTCTTAGTGGGGAAAAGGGGTCAACTATTTGCCTGTCTTTATTTTAAAAAATATTATACTAAGCTTATGCTCAAAACCCTTATGTCTCCAGTAGTAGACACAATTATGTTTTTACCTAATACTAGTGAGCATTTATGGAAATCTTTTTTGGTTTGTTTGGTTTGGTTTTTTTGTTTGTTTGTTTGTTTTTTGAGACAGGGTCTCACTACTTAACCGTGGCTGGCCTGCAACTCTATATGTAGACCAGGCTGGCCTTGAACTCAGATCTGTCTGCCTGCCTTCCAAGTGCTGGCAGCACTGCCTTTTTTTTTTTTTTTTTTTTTTTTTTTTTTTTTAAATAGGCAGAACAGAAAGTCAGGCATCCTGGGTTTCTTCCCAGAAACTAAGGCAGCCTCATTGTGACATCCCATCCCAGCCCCACAGCTGGGGATGCACATATCCCTAGTTATTCTTTGGCTTCATAACATTTGAAAAGGCCAATGGCAGTTTCCTGGTCTGGTGATGCAGGAGAATCTGAGTTCAAGACCAGCCTAAAAGATCTACACAAAAAAGTTCCTACTTCAAAACAACCACACAAAAAACTCACTCGCTTCTGACAGATTTGTATGATAATAAAATCCTGTGTCATGCCAGGCAGTGGTGATACACACCTTTAACCACAGCACTGAAGAGGTGGAGGCAGAGGCAGAGGCAGGGGGATCTCTGAGTTGGAGGCCAGCCTGGTCTACAGTGAGTACTATACAGAGAAACACTGTCTCAAAAACAAACAAACAAACAAACAAAAAAAAACAACAACAAAAAAATCCTGTGTGGCCACCAGAGTCCCCTGTGGAAAGGGGACAGGATCTGAGTTTCTTCAGCGTGTTAGAGCAGGGAGAGGAGGCAGATTTTCTGGAGTGGAAGGTAGGTCTTTTCTAGTCCCATGTAAGATCAACCTTTGTGGCTCTGATCACAGGCTGGCAGCCTGCTCCCTCCCTCGGTTGACACAAACACTCAAGTTAAATCTGTGGGAATATAGGATAAGTGATTGATTGTGTGTGTGTGTGTGTGTGTGTGTGTGTGTGTGGTCTGTATTGGCATAAGCTCTAAGCTTGAAATTCTCCTAGTGGGGGGAGAGAGTAGAGCCCATAGGAAAGTTTGGGGAGTTTTCCACAAGAAACATGTTGGCTGAGAATGGGAGTGAGAACTTCAGAAATACAATAAGAAGCCCTTTCTGCTCCAAGAGTAAGTACATCCATTGCTCAAAATCAGATCCGACAATTAAGCTGGGATTCTTGCCCCTAACACTCCCAACTTCTTGTTGTTTATTAACCCTTAATAGGAAGAAAAAAAAAAGGCTCAGAGAGGTCTGGCTAACATCTTGTGCATCACACAGCCTCACAAACAGGATTAGAACTCAGGGCCTTGTGGAGAAACTATCTGAACCTCCCTCCCCATCTGCTCCAGAGACTGCGATGTTTCCTGTCCTAGCTAGCTAGGGAGTAATGATCTATGCCCTGGTGCCAGTGAGGAATCTGGAACTAGGCGTCGCCTCTGGGATCCCCTGCCTGGGTAGACAAGCAGAGGTTGATCTTCACTGGGTAGGGGCAGGGAGATGGCAGCTGCCGGTGGGGTAGCAAGAGAGATATTTTTAGAGGTGACTGGAAAGCAGGCACTCTGGCACACCCCCAGCTGGCGGGCACTTCGCTCTAATGCGGGCGGGGGGTGCGCAGCTCCGGGGAGAAGGGAGGACTTGTGGGTGGCGGGGAGCTATGGTAGTCCCCGGAGATGAGGGGACACTGGCACCATGGACCTGGGGAAGGAGGGCTCAGTTCGCTGCCCCAGGGGTTACCCCATCACCAAGAGCATGAAACACCCTCCAACTCCACACGGCCCCCACCCCAACATTGAGATCGCGGTCCTCCCGAAGCCCAAGACTCATGCGGGGCAGCGGCGGCCGCGCTGTCTGTCCCGGTTGAGTTTGGAGTGAAAGTAGTGGGAAGGGGGCTAGTTAAGTAAGGGCTTTGGGGGCAGGAGGGAGCAAGGGGTGCTTACGGGAATTGGGGGGGACGCGGTCTTATCCACCCCCGGATTTCTGAGCTCCGACTCACGCGTCCCTCCAGTCCCAATAGACCGTGGATGGTGTGCTTCTGTTCCGTCCCTTCCACCTGCCCCCCATCCCCGGGGCCGCCGCCGCGTCCCCTTTAAATGCCGGGGAGCCAGAGCCCTAGCCGCGGCGGGCGCTGCGGCAGCCGCAGCACCCCGGCCCACCGCAGTCCCCGCACGTCATAAGCGTCCAGCCAATCACCGCGGTGCCGGCGCACATCAAAGGGGCGGGCTCCCCGCGGGCCACGCCTCCCGGTTGTCCCCGAGGCACTGCGAGCGGCGGAGGGACTGGGCGGGCTGGACGGGTGGAGCGTGGCGCGTCCCGTCCGAGGAGCGTGGGCGCGGGACACCCTCTGCGTGCGCGTGGCACGTGCGTGAGTCGCTGTCACATTCCCCGCCTCCTGCCGGGCTCGGCGTGGGGAATCTGCATGCAGCCCCTCCTCCGCCCGCCAGTCCGCCTTGTCGCGGAGCTCCGCCGGACAACTTGGTGACCGGAACAGCAGAGCAGCAGCTCGGCCGTCCACGTGCGCCGAGCTCGGTGTCCTCTGCTCTTCCGGGAGGAGCCACGGCGTCCCGCCGAGTCCTCGGAACCCTGTCCCCAGATTACCGGATACTCGTGCCTGCCGGCGGGGCGGACACATTCTCCTTTCCAGCACTGCATAAACACGGAGTTGGAGAGCCAATTCGGTACATAGCGGTGCAGATAAAACCCGCTTTCTCCTAAGTCCTGAGAGTGAGATCCTGGCCCCAATCCCCTAAACCCCAATGGGGAGCTTTCCCATCCTTCCCAGCCCTCAGATTATGAGCAAGAGGTAAGAGGTGAAACCTGGATTTCCTGAGTCCATACTATGAAACCCATCACTTGACCCAGGAGAACGATTTGGTCAAGAGTTCAAACACAAGAACACCTCACTTCAGCCACGGAACAGGATCTATGGATGAGAAGTAGATGCACCTAGACCTGTGTCTAGCCAGCTAGCCTTTCCTGCAGCAAAGCCAGCCAACAAATTTCGGTGAACTCTGTGCGGGACAGGGGAGGGGGCTGGTACCTAAAAAGCAGCATTTCGCGCTTCCAAAGGCACCGGATAGGCAGAAAAGTTGACCACCTGATCGACCACCCCGTCTTTCAAGCCTTTGATGATTTTCCCAATGCCCTGCTCCCCAAGCCACCAGCAGCCCCTTCACCTTCTCTATCCCTGATGCTTGCTGAAGTCAGAGAACTAACAGTTACCACTGTATTCCTGCCAGGTTCCCTGTTTGGCTTTTTTATTTTGAGTCAGGATCTCTTGCGGCTTGTGCTGACCTCACCTTTCCTGACCTTGAACTCTTAATCCTGCGGTTACTTTTGATGTATTAAAGACCTGAGTCACTACACCCTGCAATCCTTCCTCTTACAGACGCAATCCCTACACACTGCCCCAAAACAGCTCTCAGCAGCACTGCAATGCCCCACCCTTTGAGACAGTTTCTTGTGGCCCAGGTTAGTCTGGAACTTGCTATATAGTCCAGGATGGCCAACTCCCCATCTGCCTCTGCCTCTGCCTCCACCACCCAGGTGTTGGGATTTAAAGGCATGTGCCATTTATTCCCTTCTTTATAGGGAGCAGTGGGTAGATGCTGGAAAGATTTGAACTTGTGGACCTATGATCCAATCCAAGATGCTGCCAGTCAAGCCTATGAGGAAATAAAGTAACTGAGCTTGCTCAGGGCCATTCTGTTTAGAGATGGTAGTGCTGGGGTTTCAAGCTGCTTCTCACTCGATATCAACCACCCTTCCCCTCTAAGTTAATTGAGGGCAGAGACCATATTTGTCGTTGTCTTCTTCTTTCTAGACAGGCATGATTTTTCTGTATATCTCTAGCTTTCTTGGAACTCACTCTGTAGACCAGGCTGGTCTTGCACTCAGAGATCCTCCCGAGTGCTGGGATTAAAGTCTTGTGCCACCACTGCCTGATTCCTGTTTGTCTTATTTAGCACCGTGACCCAGACCCTAGGATATAGACTAGACACTGACACCCTGTAGGCCTGATCATCTGGTGCAATTTCAGCCTGGCTTCCAAACTCACCGATAAGGTTGGTGACTTTTCTCCACTAGTGATCTCAAGTTTTTACTGCCTAATTCTGCCTTCTATCCCAGTAATGGGGATGCCAGAGTTCACCTTTACCACCTGCAAAGGGCCTCTGTGAAATAAGTGTAATAGTGTTGGGGGCAGGGGGTGCTTGCTAGGGAGCCATCCTACCACTGACTTTTAAACTCCGTGTGTTTGTGCATGGGCAAGCAGGTACTCACGGAGGCCCAGGACTTCAGATTCCCCTGGAGCTTCCCTATAAGGGCACTGCAAGACCAGTACTCTTAGCTGCTGAGCCACCTCTCCAGCCCAAGCATGGAAAACATCTATTCCCCTGGTACCAAAACCTTCAAGACACTCTGTCTTTCAGCCTTCTTTACTTTCCCTCTCAAGTGTCAATATATGATGTGCCTTGTATCTAAAGATGGGAGGAAAGAGCCATGGTCCAGGCACCATCGGCAACGTCAGCACAGGATGGAAATTCTTGCTCTGTATCAGTTTCACTTTAGGACTTGGGTCACCTGACCTGGTAGAGAGCTTGTGGGGTGGAGAGTCATCTGAGGTGACAGTTCGCTCAAGTCTCTGGTGACCTTTGACTCAGGTGGCTAGGGTTGAGCTTTCCAACTGGTTCTCTGGGAGAGGCTGAGTCACCTGCCCAAGGTTCCAGTGGTAGAGCCAAGAAGCCAGGGCTCCAAGGTCACAAACTGCTCTTCAGGTGGCCTTGCAGTAGGAGCAAAGGTGATAGGAAAGAATGGATAGTTGAGTTCACACAGTCCACCTGGGAGAGGAGAACCGTTAATCTTTCCAGGAACCATCTAGGTGTTGGTCATTTAGTATTTCCAGTTTTACAGACGCAAAAACCCAGGACATTAAGAAATGCCTTGCCCCGAGGGCACTATGTGGCAAATGTTGAAGGTCAGGGGCAGATCTGTTCTCATGCTGAACCCAAAGAGGAAAAAGACGGAACCCTGAGTGACCTGGGGTAGGTGATAGTGGGCTTGGGTGGAGATGTGACCAGCTGTGTCCCATTCAGGCATTCAGTTGTATATAGCACCATGCCAGGAGTTGTGACCAGGATTTCATTTGGTTTAGGCTAGCCTGAAACTTACCATGTAGCTGAGTATGACCTCTATCTCCCTGCCTCTACCTCCTGAGTGCTAGGGTTGCTGGAGTGGCCTGCCACACCAGGTTATATAGTACTGAAGGTGTAGGGTTGCTGGAGTGGCCTGCCACACCAGGTTATATAGTGCTGGGGGTGGTGCCCAAAGCCCAGGGCTTTGTGTTTAGTAACCTCTCTTACAACTGAACCATATCCATATCTTTATTTTATATGCATTGGTGTTTAGCCTACATGTATTCTCTGGAACTGGAGTTACAGACAATTGTGAGCTGCATGTGGGTGCTGGGAATTGAACCTTGCTCTTCTGGAAGAACAGTCAGTGCTCTTAACCACTGAGCCATCTCTAGAGCAACATCACCAACTGTGTTCTTAATCAGAAGTAAGTGCCCTGTTCTTGTACAAACAAACAAACGTGGTGACCATGGGGATAGGAAGACAGAAGGGGAGGCTTGTTTATGTTCTTTTTCTTTTTTGTTTTCTTTCTGTTTCTCTCTACATGTGTAGGTCAAGCCAGACTTCAACTCACTGGTCAGTTGAGGCTGATCTAGAATTCCTGATCCTCCCTCCTTTATGTACCCTTGCTTCATGCAGGGACAACAGCACTGTGTCTAGCAGAAGGCTCTTTTCTTGAATGAAGCACTTTCTTTTCTAAACACACTTGAACCTATTAGTTTTGTTGTTTGTTTATTTGCTTGCTTGCTTGCTTGCTTGCTTGCTTGATTTTTTGAGACAGTTTCTCTGTCTAGCCCTGGCTGTCTTGGAACTCTCTGTGTAGACTAGGCTGACCTCAAATTCAGAGATCCCCCTGCCTCTGCCTTCCTGGTGATGGGATTAAAGGTGTGGACTATCACAACCGGCTTTAGTCTTGTTTTTGTTTTTAGATAAAACAGAGGCCTGGCTGTCCTGGAACTCACTGTGTAGATAAGGCTGACCTGGAACTCTTAGAGATAAGCCTGTCTCTGCCTCCGGAGTGCCGGATTAAAGGCCCTTGCTCAGCTCCTATTAATTATTAGGTTGAACATTGTGAGACTGAACACCCCTTAAGTTCCGGCTTCTAGAACAGCCTGACTAGGAATGAGGACATCTGCTTTCGAACTTGTATGACATCAGGCATGTGGCTCCCTTTGGACCTTGTTTTCTTCCCAGCTAGGGAGAATTATCAAGATCTTGCAGGTTTGAAGGGCTGGTTGTTAGTTAATTAAGAGTGAGTCTTAAGGGTTCCTCCTCTAGCTGTCTTCAGACTACACAGTTCCCTGGAACCCTCAGATCCCAGCCAGGTCCAGAGGGCATGGGTAGGAGCAGAGCACAGATGGGTGGGGTGCCCTCCTCAGCACAGGCACCAGCCTGCCTAGTCACCTGGGTCCACAGCCCCAGGAGGGCACGGCAAAGAGCATTTTTGAAATATTCTGGCCTGAGTCCCTGGGCTCACCCAAACATGCAGGAGCCTGTCTGCTGCCCTGTAGCACTTGGGGCATTCCGTAAGTCTGGCCCCCATGGAGAAGACTCAGTCTTCATGGTTGTGGCTTGTGCAGGCCTCTACACTGTGTGGTTCTAACAAAATTTGGTGAACCTGTCTGATTTTGAATTGCCCTTCTGTGGATCCAAAGAGGCTGTACCATGTCCACAGAGGAATTGGGCAATAGCATATAGCACAGGTCAGGGCTCTGATCTCCAAAACCAGATCCTTCAGAAGCAGGGAACAGTATGTGTTCTCCTGCTATCTGTGCATCTCAACCATGCTGTGCTCATTTGTTTGTGATCTGTTTGGTTTTTTTTTTTTTTTTTTTTTTTTTTTAACAGAAATTGAGGGGTTGGAGAGATTGCTCAGTGGTTAGCAGTTAAGAGCACTGCCTGTTCTTTCAGAGGACCTGGGTTCAATTCCCAGCACCCACATAGCGTCTCATGATCATCTATAACTTCAAGCTCTGGTCTTCACAGGCACCAGGCATGCCTTGGTGCACAGAC